GTTATTTTTGGAAGGAAACCTACCGGATAGACTTGGACCCTACGTCAGAAGATGAAGGAGGTGCTCACGAGGGTAGGGGGTGCGCCCACCCCCCTGGGGCGCCCCCCTGCCTCGTGGCCCCCCTTCGGTCCACCGACGTACCCCTTGTACCCATATATACCTACGTATCGTAAGACTTCCAAGGAGCACAATAGATCAGGAGTTCCGCCGCCAGAAGCCTCCATAGCCATCGAAAGCCAATTTAGACCCGTTTCGGCACCCTGCAGGAGGGGGAATCCTTCTCCGGTGGCCATCTTCATCATCCCGGTGCTCTCCATGACGAGGAGGGAGTAGTTCTCCCTCGGGGCTGAGGATATGTACCAGTAGCTATGTGTTTGATCTCTCTCTCTCTCTCTTGTGTTCTTGAGGTGATACGATCTTGATGTATCGCGAGCTTTGCTATTATATTTGGATCCTATGATGTTTCTTCCCCCCTCTACTCTCTTGTAATGAATTAAGTTTCCCCTTTGAAGTTATCTTATCAGATTTAGTCTTTAAAGATTTGAGAACACTTGATGTATCTCTTGCCGTGCGTATCTGTGGTGACAATGGGATACCACGTGATTCACTTGATGTATGTTTTGGTGATCAACTTGTGGGTTCCGCCCATGAACCTATGCATAGGGGTTGGCACACGTTTTCATCGTGATTCTCCGGTAGAACTTTGGGGCACTCTTTGAGGTCCTTTGTGTTGGTTGAATAGATGAATCTGAGATTGTGTGATGCATATCGTATAATCATACCCACGGATACTTGAGGTGACATTGGAGTATCTAGGTGACATTAGGGTTTTGATTGGTTTGTGTCTTAAGGTGTTATTATAGTACAAACTCTAGGGCTGTTTGTGACACTTATAGGAATAGCCCAACGGATTGATTGGAAAGAATAACTTTGAGGTGGTTTCGTACCCTACCATAATCTCTTCGTCTGTTCTCCGCTATTAGTGACTTTGGAGTGACTCTTTGTTGCATGTTGAGGGATAGTTATATGTTCCAATTATGTTATTATTGTCGAGGGAACTTACACTAGCGAAAGTATGAACCCTAGGCCTTGTTTCCTAGCATTGCAATACCGTTTACGCTCACTTTTATCATTAGTTAACTTGCTGTTTTTATAATTTCAGATTACAAATACCTTTATCTACTATCCATATACCACTTGTATCACCATCTCTTCGCCGAACTAGTGCACCTATACAATTTACCATTGTATTGGGTGTGTTGGGGACACAAGAGACTCTTTGTTATTTGGTTGCAGGGTTGCTTGAGAGAGACCATCTTCATCCTATGCCTCATACAGATTGATAAACCTTAGGTCATCCACTTGAGGGAAATTTGCTACTGTCCTACAAACCTCTGCACTTGGAGGCCCAACAATGTCTACAAGAAGAAGGTTGTGTAATAGACATCAGCCACCCTCTTCTCGTGGGTGTCACCGCTGCAGCGTTGTCGGCATGGCCGGCCCCGGCTATCTACCTGCCTGCAATCTGCTCATTAGCTTGTCACTTCCCAACACAGGTCCTCCCCCCTGCGTTTTTGATTTCCCGGTTTTGTTCACCATTTTCCTACTGAATGTTTTAGTTTCCTGCCCCGGTGTGAAAATGGTTGTTTCCATGGCAAATTTTATTATGAAAATGGCTAATTCTACTCATTATCTTTCATATGTATGCATGTTCACAAAAATTGTAGCTGAAATATGTGTTTTTGTGTTATCTGCCATTTCATACTGATGTTAATGTGTCTACAATTCCACTTCTTATCAATTGCCATGCTTCTAAATAAATACATGGCAACTATCCTACTGTTTGGCGCTGAAAATTGCCATGTGTTCTGATATGCCATATGGCAGTTAATGCATTTACATTTGTCCTCTCATCATTTTGCCATTCTACTGAATAAATAGATGGCAACCTGCCCTATGTGTGGAACTGTAAAAACTTGCGTTGTTTGCCATGTTTTTCGAACCACAATGCATCCTTTGTTTTTCATATTTCTGAATAAATACATAGCAAATCCCTCTCTATAAAAGTCTGAAATTTGCCATGTTTCATATGTATTATGTTTGTTAACAGGTAGCAAGCAATTCGTATGCTACTATACCAATTGCTTGGCAAGTTCATCAGATCCATAACCCATCAGTTGCCATGGCTGAAATGATTTTTTTGCCATGTTTGCCATCTTCATGACATCATTCTGTAATGGTACTAAATATAGACATGGCAACTCCCCCATGTTCAATCAGCCTAATTTTGCCCTGTTGGTTTCATGGTAGATGGCAACTCACCCATATGTGTACATTTTCCTACTTAATAATTTGGCATGTTACTCAATAACTACATGGCAATTTCACTGTTACTATCGAGGCAAATTTAATTCATATAACATGGCAAATCTATCTTTTTTTTCATGTACCATAGCATTATTACTCCATGTGCCATGGCATTTTGACTTTGCATTTGCCACGGAAATTTGTTTTTGATCATTTTGTTTGTGTTATTTTCACATAAACGACAATTTTATTACGTAAAAGATGACATTTTCATTGAAAATACCATGGCAAAAGGAAACATGCATTTGCCATGGCAACATTTGATCAATTTTTTATTACTTCACATTCTTGGCAAATTTCATGTAAAATTTGTTAAAAGAACACGGCAATATTTGATACGAATCTGCCATGGCAAGTTTCTCGTTCATACTCGATTCCAACCTTTTGTGTTTTTTCACACGGGGTAAATTCATCATACAAAACACGGCAATTCTTGATACAAATCTGCCATGGCAAATTTTCGTGTTCATACTTAATTTTGAACTTTGTAAACGGGTGACAACAATTCTTCTCTTTTTTACAACATGGCAATTTCTTTTCGGACGGGACCATGACAATTTTAGTGCATGCATCATGGGAATTATAGTTTATGGATCTTGGCATTTTTTAGTCTATGCATCGTACAAATTTTCTGTTTTGAACGACAACATGTCAAAATTTTGTCCTTCTTTCCAACATGGCAATTTTTCTTTTTTAGAATGGGACCATGGCAAACTTAGTCTATGTATCATGGCAAATGTAGTTTATGGGGCATGGCAATTTTTTTAATTATATGGACCATGGCAATTTTGATTCTTTATGTAACATGGCAGATTTTCTTTTTTCAAATGGGCCATGGCAATCTTAGTGCATGTTTCATGGCAATGGTAGTTTTACAGTTTTACAAAGCATGGAAAAAATTGAATGGATTTTTTTGTGCCGAGTACAATATTTTTTTGGCCACATCACATGCAATAGATTTGCCATACTACATGGCAATTTTCCCCCCTCCACATTTTGGCAAGTTTTTTATGAACCATGGCAAATTTAGTTAAATGGATTAGATTTGCCATACTACATGGCAATTTTTCCCACGGACCATGTCAATTATATTTAATGAAGCATGGCAAATTTATTGAAATGGATTTTTTTAATACAAAATTGCCATACTACATGGCAATTTCCACCCTCCATCATGGATTTTTTTTGACAAAACACGACAACTTTAGTTAAATGGGATATATTTTGTTGTACTACATGGCAATTGTTCCCACGGACCATGGCAATTCTATTTTACACGAACTATGACATTTTTAGTTAAATGGGGTAGATTTGCCATATTATATGGCATTTGTTCCCATGGACCATGGCAATTCTATTTTACGAAGCATGGGAATTTTGTTTCAAAGGGAATAGATATGCCATACTATGTGGCATTTGTTCCCATGGACCATGGCAATTCTATTTCATGAAGCATGGCAAATTTCTTTCAAATGGAATAGATATGCCAAACTACATGACAATTCTATTTTTTACAAATCATGGGAAAATTACTTTAAATGGATCATGGCAAATATGTTTTTTTTCATGAATATTGTGTGTTCAGTACCAAATGCGATAGTGGATGCAATAGATTTTGCCATTTGGTGTAACATAAAATTTTGCCATTTGGTTATTTATAACTTTTGCAAAAAAATTATAATGTTTATTTTTACTTTTATTGCCATGTCAATTTCTTACTTTTTAAAAAAATTGGCCATGGAAAAGTTACCTTTCTATTTGCCATACAATTTTACATTTATTGCCACATTTTTTTATTTTCACATACATGGCGATTTTTACCTCCATTGCTCATGACAATTTTGGTTGAAATTTTTTCTTTTTGTGCCTTTTTTGCATCAAAAAGGATCTTTTTTGAACCATTTGGTTTTTAGTAATATCTAATCTCTATGTATCACGAACATTTTTTTGGACTATTGCAAACATATTTGTAAATATGAAGTACTCGGAAAAAAATTGCCATGTGTTCTTTGTCATTTTGGCGAAATTTTTGTTTTTAAACAATGGCAACATGTTGTTATTTCGTTGTTGTTTTTCCTATAGTTCACATAGGTAAATTGCGTGTCTTTTAACCAACGGTTTTTTTTGCTTTTATATAGTTTTTTCGCGGTTTTTATATATTTGTTGTTGGGCTTTTGATCGCTTGTGGCCCAGCAGGAGGGGGACAACTGGAGTCGACCGAATGAAATCGTTCGGTCGATGCTGCCTCCCACCGTACGTCTCGGTTCGAGGAAATCGTTCGGTCGATGCTGCTTCCCACCGCACGTCTCCGTCCGGGCGGTTTGCCTCCAGACCACACGTGCGGTGGTTATCAACGTCCTATTTTAATAAGACATGAAGAGGTTCAAACACCGGTCCGGTCTTATCAATCAACCTGGGCTCTTTCACTGAATTTTGTACGCGCTGCGAGCAAACCATCATCATGAGCCCCAAGACTGAACCGTTGGAAAAGACCCTTGTCGGGTCAGCTTGCCCTAAATGTTGATGTTGTTTTTTATGAAGATGGTAACACTAGAGCCCGTGGTGCAATTAATCGTGATAGTGGCGGTCTGTTCATTGCTGCATCCACGGCCAAGCTGGAACATGTTGCGGACATGGTGTGAGTTGAAGCGGCTGCTCTTGTAGAAGGTTTGAAGCTAGCTAACACTATTGGATGCAATTCAATCTTTGTGCAAATAGACAACTTAACCATAGTGAAAGCTCTCCAACAAAACTCTGGCACTAGCAGCTCCGATACTTGATGAATGTGACAACTTGTTACACGATTTTGGAAAGGGCTTGATAGAGCATTGTAATCGTGAATCGAAGATGGTAGCTCATGTGCTAGCTCATAATGGTCGTATCAATTCCCGTAAAAAAAACTCATAATGGTCGTGTTGATCCACCAAATTTGTGGTTGGACGCACCTCTCATCTTTATTTCTGAACTTTTAACCGATGATATAACCGTTGTTTGAATTTAATAAAGCTAGCCATGAAAGCCTTTCCCTTAAAAAAAACCTTGTGCAATGCATCCATTTACCATGTGCGGCAAATGGGAGAGTAACGCTTGAAACATTTATTTGGTGGGCTAGCAAAATATGTTTCACATTTATGTTCATTTTCGGTTTTTGTTTTACATTTATTAGTTTCTCCTTTAATTTATTTTTTAAAATTTTATCATTTCATTCTAATTATTTATCTTCCCTTTTATTCATTTTTTAAATATACACTTTTTTTAAAATACATAAAAATTTAAATGTACGAATATATTTTTTCATTTGCATGAATATTAATTCTAGTGTACATGAAAACTATATTTATTATTATTAATATTTTTACATAATTTGTATTTACATTAATATTTTCCATTTTGGTAAACGATTATATTTTAGCATGCCACAGTTTTTTTAAAATATATGAACATATTTTTTGGTTACACGTGGACATTTTTTTTGCGTGTATATATATTTCGGGACACGTAATTTTTCTATTATGAAACCTGATATATTAGAAATTCCGATTGTTTTGAAAAGAAGTAAAAAGTGCGCCAGTTGATGGGCCGCGCTAAATGCAGCCCATGGGGAGCAGCTTCCCGTTGCGGCAGACCTCAAAACCGAAACCTCGCCCGCCTCCGGCGGAAACCCTCGCTCGATTCCCCACCCCACTCCCCACCCCGAAATGAGTTCGCTGGAGGACGCCCTGGGGGACAGCGCCGTGGCGCCGACCATGGCCTCGCGGGTCTCCGCCGCCCGCATCGCCGTCGTCGAGCTCGAGGACGACGACGACGACACCGCCGCCTCCACCCCCGCACCCGCCCCACGCTCCCGCGCCTCCCGGGGCCTCCTCGACGCCTCCTCCTCCTCCCCGGCCTTCCCCAAGCGGCGGCTGCCGATGTCCCCCATCTTCATCGACGACGACACCCCTCCCCCGCCGCCGAAGCGGCGGGAGCCCAGATCCGCCGCGCCCGGGACCGGCACTCCCCCGTCGTTCGTCCCGTGCTCGCTCGCCCCCCGCCCCCGCGCCGTCGCTCCCGCCGGTTCTTTCTTCCCGAGCCCGTTCCGCACCGCTGCTTTGCAGGTCCCTGGGCCGTCTGCCCCCGGATCTGTCGACCTGGACATTGTTGTCCTGGAGACGCCGGGCTACACCCCCGTGCGCCGGGTCGGGGCCTCCCCGGGGTTCGTCCCGTGCTCGCTCAGCCCCCGCTCCGGCGGCGATGGTCCCCGCACGCCTGATTCTGTTCTCCGGCGCAATATCGACTTCGAAGATGCCGCTGATCTGGAGATCCCCGGGTCGGCTTCCCCCGGCTCTGCCGACCCCGACATTGTTGTCCTGGAGACCCCGGGCTTCACCACCTCGCGCCCGGCCGGGCCTTCCAGCGTCCCAGTCGGGACTCCCCCGTCGTTCGTTCCGTGCTCACTCGCCCCCCAATCCCGTGGCGCTGCTGTTCCTAATGCGCCTGTTCTTCCGCGCTCGTTCGACTTTGATGCTGCTGATTTGGGGATCCCTGGGCCGGCTTTCCCCGGATCTGTCGCCCCCAATGCCGAGACACGTCTCTTCACCAACTCGCGCTTGGATGTGGCAGGCCCCTCCACTTATCGAGGTTTCTCTTCTGCTGCCCCTGCAAATACATTCTTTGGTGAAATTCTTAACTATAGGCCTATAGCTGCCTTTTGTTTTAGGCTCATCTTGCCAAGAAGTGAGCACTGTGTACACTGGCTTCATTTATGTATTTTGCTCCATGGCAAGAAGATAGATGGGAATTGGTTGTGCTCATGCTTAGGCTGCAAGGCATTTAGCTTTGTGTCACGAGAGGCAAAGTAGGTGTCTTTTCTAGAAAAGACTGACAAGATAGGTGTTGTTTTGTGCAATTTGAGATTAGCGTCTGTTCTAGATACAGGCCAAGAAGGTGCAAATTCCTTTGCTGACTTAAATGGCCAAGAACATTTGAAATTCCGAACTGCAAAACAAAAATGCAACCTTTATTTATCGAGAACGGTATAATCTCGATCCTTCAGCTCGTGTAGAACAAATGACTTCTCTACCGCTCAAGTTCATGTCAACTAATATTTTGGATAACATGTCAGTTCGTAGATAATACTTTCACTCTATATCGAGCCCTAACTAGTATAGTGTTTATGTTAGATTTCTTCAGAGACGAGCTTCTGTTAACACGAAAATCAAGAACTTCAGCTCTTGCGTCTTAGAGCAGTTTAGTTTTATATTCTCCGTTTCTTATGTGGAGGCACCCTATCCCGCCCCATCAATTACTATTTACTAGATGGGTGCACGTTCTGGACTTATTATAACTTGGATTCACCTAGGTAGGAGTAACTGAGTAACTCTAATTTGTGCCTTTTCAGGACCTTCTTCCCCGATATCTTTGGATAGTGATGATGAGCTGGATGACTTTGGGTACAAAGAGCCATCGGGAAATTTGATTTTACCCTGTGCAGAGTCCATGCAGGAAGAGGAGAGAAACGACAACACAGAAGAAGGAAAGACAACGCAGGTCTGACTGAGTAGCAAAGCCTGACAATAAACAAACTTCTCAGTTCAAGTTTCACAATAGATGCAACTTAAGCAATAAACCCCTCTTTCATTATATAGGAAAAGAGGAGACTAATAAAAGAAGGGAAAGCGAAAATGGTTGAAGAAAAGAAACGACAGCGGGAGGTCTGTCTCGTTAAGCATTTTTTATAAAATAAATGTTTACTGTGGTGCATGATAGAGAATAGAGAATACAGAATGTAAGAGGGTGCTATTTACTTTGCAGGAAAATAAGCTCATGAAAGAAGCTATTAAAGCTCAAAAGGCAGAGCAGAAGAAATACGCAAAAGAAAAAGACGAGTGGGAATCAGGAAAACATGCTTTAAAATCTATTGTGGCTGAGATCGACTCAACAATCATTGAAACTGGTTCAGTTGGAGGTATTTTAAAATTTAAACCCCAGCCAATTAATTAGTTGCATCAAATTATCAATTTAGTCTCAATTATCGTGATTTTGTCTCCATCTTTCTCTGTTGCTGAGGTATTTGAACCTTTGCAAACAGGTACCCTTCTAACAAGGTTTGCGGAGAAGGGACTTAAGTATCGAGTTCAGGCTAATCCAATCAGGGGATCGATTTTGTGGAAGATGGAGGTTCCTCAAATTGGCCAGGTGCTTGTTGGTCATAACAATAGCTGTCATATTAGCGATGAATGCTTCCTCTCTCTTGGTTTAGCCTTTAGAAATTGCAATCCTCCATTTTCTCTCCGTAATTCTTCTGTTCCAAGGGGCCCTTAGCATTCAACTATAATTTTTTATGTGAGACAACTTGAATTCCTGGAAAAAAAATGATGATAAATAAAAGGGAACAATTGATTGAACAGCTTCTTTGGAACAGCCCAAGTGCTAGTGTTTTGTCACCTATTCCTTGAAAATCTACAAATAAACACACACATGAGTGAAAATTCTGGCCTTTAGCTTATCAAACAGAGGTGCTACACTGTTAGGATTTACCAATGTTATACATATGCATAATATAAAGGCAATATCTATATACTCCCTCCGTTCCAAAATAGATGACTCAACTTTGTACTCACTTTAGTACAAAGTTAGTATAAAGTTGGGTCATCTATTTTGGAACGGAGGGAGTACATTCCAAGTCATGGAGAAGTAGGGTGTGAGTTAAACTTTCCTGAAGTGTCATTTCTGTTAAGCTTCCAGGAATGGAAAAGTATCTTTATGACACAAAGTTACTGTAAGATATAGATCCATTATGACATACAAAAGGCGGCACATTTAGTCTAGTACCACACTATATATATCCTTAAGTAGTAGTTAAGTGGCATATCTTTCTGCATAACCAACACCCATGACTTTGTATATATACTAACTCCTAAGTGACATTATTGTGTGCAGGACCCAGCTTCAGTGGCAGAAGTGCAGTATATTCTATTTGTGCTTCAAGCTGAGGAATTCTGCGATCTTATCAGCAGTGGGTTCTTCTGGGATCATGTTCGCCTTGTTCAAGATCGCTATCCAACATTCACTGTTTGCTACGTCACTAATAAATTGATGAACTACATAAATAAATGGTTGGTTCTTTAAAGTCTGAATTACCTTGTTCTGCTATTTTCTGTTGATCGTCTTACGTTCACTGTCTCCGGATGCCCTTTTGTTCTTCGTGCACTAGTGCTAAGTAGCCGACAACATTATTTATAGCTTTGGCATGCTATTTTTTCCTACTCTTTATTGTCTTTCACCTAAACTATGCCCACTGCAGAGTTTCTGACTGCTGTTACATGCCACTCACTGCTACATTGTAATATCCTCTTGTCATGTTTATTGTGTAAGCCCATATAACCAACACACAAACACACTCAAGCCTGGAACATTATGCGAGAAAAATCTGACTTCCATGATAGTTCTGCATAATATTTTTAATTTTCCTGTAATGTTACAATTTGCAAGCAACAAGAAATGTATTCATCTTTTGTATTTGAAGTTTGCTAAAATGTCCTCTCTTTTTCTCTGACGTGCTAGCGAGCGGGCTCAGTATAGGAATGCACCCAATTCTAATAGCTGGAAACGCCCACCGGTGGAAGAGGTCTATTTTCAACCTTATCAGAAATTTCCTGAACTATCCGTTTTTAGAATGTGTAATGGGTTTGGTTTTTCAGGTTTTATGCAAATTAGCAACACACCATGTTAAAGTTCACTCAAGGCAATGCGCAGATGAAGCTGAAGTAGCCGAGCATGTTGTTGGCTTGACATCTAGTCTTGCAAATTGCAAATTCAGGTGAGCTAGATTTGTTAGATCAGAATGATATCACCAATGGTCGTCTGTGCTTTCTTTTTGTTGCCTTTTCTGTTTTTCTGGTTCTATTCCACTGTATGCTAATTGATTTGTGCAGTCATTCATACTGAATTTGGACTGAAATTGAACAGTAGCCTATAACATTGATCATTGGTATATGAAGCAAAAATACTCCCCCAGTCCACAACAAAAGCTGTCCTAGAATTCTGAGCTCAATTTTGACCATGAATTTAATTTACAAAATATGATATATATATATATATTCTACAAAAATAATACCATTGTTCTTTCAAATACGAATCCAATGATATATGTCATATGACTTATATTTTAATAGTCAAAGTTAGCCTAATTTCAACGTGGCCTTCTATATGTGGACGGAGGGAGTATGAATTACATATAAGCACCCTTTTATACAGCTGATGTGCCTGATTATGCTAGACGGATGTACTTGATTTGACTTCAGCGCATCGAGTTCAGTTCACATGTTAAGTTTCCAGTGGGTACTGTATTGGTCTTGCAGTTGTCTTTCGCACTAACCAAACCAGGGGAAAATGTGCCAAGGTTCCTATACCCACTGAAATCACACCTCTAATACTGTAAACTTTCCGTCGAAAGTCTAAAAATTACATTACCTTGAACCTCTGTTACTCTTCCATTATGGCGCTGATGTTTTATTTAGCAGCCAGTTTGTATTCAATGCTGGTTTACCCCTAGGTATAATTATGGTGTATCTACCTCCTAATGCCTAATATGTTATAAAATAGTTGTCTTGTAGTTTTATCCAATGATATTTATATGTTTGGTGTCACTGGGGATGTTTCACAACTGAATATGAGCGCGCACCGTGGAGGCAAAGCCTTGACCAGAGGTGTGCTTGTTGGTCTCAACCAATTTGCCACCTGAGCTAGGTTTGGTCCTCGATGGCCATCATTATTAATGTTGCACATATTCAGCGATTTGATTTTTATTTTGGTTCCCATTAGTTGGACATATATAGTCTTAGTGACTTACTGAATCTAGAAGCAGCTCCATGTTTCATTAATGTTTTCCCCATGGACTTGTGCAGGAAACCACTGTCATGGTTATCTGTCCATGCTAATGGTGCAGTGATCCCTAAAAATTTCATTGATAAAGATCTGGCTAAGAAAGATACCTGGTAAGTTGGAACATATACTGAATCAGATCTCCATTTGGTTTTCTTCGTCTTGATTATTCTATTTTATCAAACTGTAAATTGTTCCTGTTTTTGCATATACCATAAACTGTGCATTTCCAGTATTCTTCTTTTTGTGGAAGGCTACTTGCACTTAGTTTGGTTGTTGACTTATTTTAACTTCTGCAGAATTTTCAGTAGAGTCGTAGAGTAACAAGTAAAACACAGAGTTGCTTGTTCCTACACCAACGAGTCTCCTTTTCTGCTGTCTAGCCTAGTCTGTTAGTATTACGGCATAGTTCTCCCCATCAAAATTAGCATGAAATGGAAAAAACCAAAATTCTATATGTGGGTGAGTTGCCTTCAACTCGTACATGTAAGCCAGTCTTGGACCTCTAGGTTGGACTGGCTTGATTTTGATATTCGTGCTAACTGTTATACTAAAGAAACCGCCTTATAAATGGGTCATGCTGTTTAACCAAATCTGAGCAACAGGATTGTAATATCGCAGCTGCTATTTAGATGAAGCTGTTGGCGACGGTGATAGTAATTCTATATTATATTGTTTCTAGTCAAGTCACTCATTGTTAGCATCCAACTAGGCATCCATGCATAGAACAATGTTTTCAAAATTCCAGCGTTCAGATCAGAGTTATATGCCCTTTATCTTATCTAACTCTTGACGTAAATTATTTGTGGCAGGATGAAGGCTCTAATAGCTATCCCTAAAGTCCAGCCAAGGTTTGCCCTGGCAATCTGGAAGAAGTACAGTACCATGAGATCCCTTCTGAAAGTATATATGGATTCCACCAAAACTGTGAGTGCTTCCCTTTTTACCACTCTTGAAAGTAGGCTGACAAATGGGTTCGTCCTCGTGCGCCCGCAAGCCTTAACCTGTGCATGCGACAGGTTCGCGAGAAGGAGCTTCTGCTGCAGGACCTGATGTGCGAGGACCGCGTAGGCGAGGAAAGCCGAAGGCTGGGACCAGTATGCTCTAGAAGGGTTTACAGGACTCTCATGGCAGAAGATGGAGCAGTGGAAGCGGATGCTGCTGCCGAGTAACCCTAACGGTAGATCGTGTGGTCCCCTTGGACCTGCCAAGCTAGTGCATATGTATTGGGTGTTGCACCACCAAGCTAAAACTTAAAACTCCACGCAGCTAGTATTGTAATGAAGCCATTACTTGCTGTGCTGCACGGTGGCGCTTATCATGTTCAGCGAGACTTGTACGAAAGCAGAACTAGAAGGATCTTATGCTTAGGGGGATTGACGTGTGGAATGCTATGCTAATATATACTGTATGTATGTAAGATGAGTCGTGTGTTGTGAAATTGTGTGTTGGTATTCTGTGATAGAAGGACATTGTTGACTACAGTCAGGAGCTCTTGCAATCCTTCTACCTAGAACTAGGACGTTTGGGACTATGATCTAGGAGATGGGACTAGTAGTAGGGAGGTGAGAACTGAGAAGGAGCAGGGGATTATTGTTTGATGGGAGCCTTCCATCCACGGGCACATGAAAGAGATGGAAAGCATCAAAGTGGCGCCAAAGGGAACACGTCCAATAATGAACATCTAGTGCCTAGTGCTCTAAGCCACGTACGGGAGCTAGTTTAGCAGCTCCGACGTCCCTCGCGACGGCCGGCCTGATCGCCGAGAGCGACAGCGACGGAGGACGCGTCACTGGTGGAAGACAGGACGACGGCACGGAGGGTTTGGTTTCCTTGCTTGCTGTTGATACATCGCGACCGGGCAGTAAGTGGTGAGCAGTACTACTCGGGTGCGCCCAGCTCGTCGTACGCCCGTACGCGACTTCTCGTGGACGGAGCGTGGAGCGGAGCAGTGCGCCCGTACGTGGCTTCCTTCAAGCCAAAGGTTTGGAACGTGTGCTCACGGCCGTACACGGCAAGTTGGCGCCACCATGCACGTTGCACATCGATCCAAGTTGAAAGAGATTGGACCTCAAAGAATCTGGGATGGTTTAAGAAAACAATGTATATTAATATATATATTTTTTGGCGACAATGGAATTTTGGTGATGGTAACGCTTTCGCAAAAAAGATAAAATAAATTGTGGCTTCTGCTAAATTTCCTTTCTACAATTTTGTGGATGACATTCACTGGAGCTCCTAGGGAGGATCCGGTCTCTCCGGGAGCCGACAAAGGTAAAAGTGTTGCACATTATGTTTGTGCCCTCCGCTTGTTTTACCTTGCGCGGGTTGGGTGACGGCACACGACAAAACCATCAAGATTAATACGGATGCTAGCTATGTGACGAAAGAAGTTTTTGCAAGCACCAGTGTTGTGGCGAGGGACCACTTTTGTTATCTTTATTATGGAAATTCCATCCCGTTTCTTTGGTGTGTAGGAAGCGGTGCTTGGGCCATCTTTAGCGGGGGTTTTATGTCGCCATTGACATGCACACACCAACCACGTGAAAAATTACATGTCTAACATTTTCCAAGACAAGCCAACTTTTGTTGATTTGAAGAGCCTTGAGCCGGCAATAGAGCGGCCCATGAGATTGCTAAATAAGGGTTAGTTTCTAGAGAGGATGGTTTCCTTGTCGGTAATGTTCTGTTCTGTGTGATGAATTTGGGAATGGCTAGGAGCCAATCGCCTAAATTTTCTTTTTGGGTCAGTGGATTTGGCTGGGATCGGTTTGAAGCGTTGCATGAAAAATGAACGACCCAGAATATGTCTTCTTCCTTCAAACGTTTTTCTGAAAAAATGGATCGCGCCTGCGGCCAACGAAGCACCCGCGCCAGCCTCGCCGCCCCACCCTCCCACCGGCGAACCACCAGAAATTTTCCGACAAACTTGCACCCCCGGCACCCTAAGATAGACAAGGACACTGCTACTCCCCTGCACCCCATGCACCCCTAATAAGATAGACAAAGAGGTTGATGTTTCCCCCAACACTCCTAAGATAGACAAGGAGGTTGATGTTTTCCCAAACACCCCTAAGATAGACGAGGAGGTTGATGCTCCTTGCTCCTCCTATTTCCTTCACTCCACGAATCGACTGACCCAAATTTCGTTTTGAGACGACTGAATGCAACTAAATTGGACGAATTTTGTAATGAACGATCATATGATGTTTCCTAATCAATAAAATGGCGATTTTAAAAAATATAGCAAACTACTAGTCTTTATTTACAGGTACCTCTCTTGAAGACTGGTTAGGAGATCTTTATTTCACCCGCAAAAAAAAGGAAATCTTTATTTACAGTAAGATTAGCAAGTACTAGTCTTAAACATCATAATGAGAAGACCAGCATAAATCCATACGAGGACAAATATATATCCACAACATCAGCAGTTCGGTAGCAACCAACACTGCTTCACGTCGATGGCATTGGCGTCTTCATGGTGGACCATCCCCATCAGCTCCGCCACCACCTCCTCCGTCAGCGCTTCCAGCACTGCAACCGCTAGCTCGGCACCGACGTCCCACCGCCCCAGCAGGGCATCCCCCCTCTCGCCGGGCATGTCCAACGGTACGAGGTCGTGCCCATTGGCCTCAAACATCTCGTCCAAATGTGCAATGCTGGTGGCACGGTCGGTCCTCGTGGGCGCCGGTGCGGGGGGCGGCGCCGGCGTCGTCGTCGTTGTTGAAGTCTCCGTGGGGACATCGCCGGACTTGCTGCTTTCTGTGGCAACTTTCCGCTGGAGCAACGCGGGCCTGCGTGCCGCGTCCAGGAGCTCCCTGGAGACGACAATGGCCTCTGCGATGGTCACAAGTATCGCTGCGTGAGCTCAGTGCGATAGTGCATGATCGACGACCAATGGCGCGGAGGAAGGGATATGGGGGCTGCGTGCTTGCTTACTCTCGGCGACGGCGTACGCCCGCGGCGGCTTCTCGAATGCCCGGCGCTCCAAGACGGACACAGGGCTCAGCTGCTTCGACGAGTCGTCGTCCTCGTAGCTTTCTCCCTCGTCGTCCGCTGCTTCAGCCGTGTGTGCCTCGACGGCGTTCTTTCTTTTGCTCGCCGCCTTCTCGCCTTCGACGGAGCACGGGCCAATGGCGGCCGACCGCAGTTTCTTCTTTCTTTTCGTGGATGCAGGCGCCGCCGTGCCGTGGAGGAGCTTGGAGAGGAGGCCGCTCGCGGGCGTTTTCTTGCTGGCCGTCACCCGCCTCGGCGCCGGGGAGGTGCCCCTGCTCCTTGGCCAGCAAGGTAACGCAACGCCGCAGCCTCCGGCCGCGTCCAGGGTGGTGGGGGAGCAGCCCTTCTCGAGGAGGTAGAGGTGAAGGGAGAAGGGCTCTTGCTGCTCCTCCAGGAGCTCCGACAACCGGCGGCTGCTGCCGGACGGCGACGGTGAGGGGCCGGCCATGGGCTCCGGGTGATTCGGTGGTTTGGTGGGGTGGACAGGGCCGGATGGCAGAGACGTATGGAAGGCAGGGGAGCTTATAAAAAAAGGACGCGAGGGAAGATGGTGTGTGTGAGGGTGGGAGAAGAGGCACATCACAACTTTCTTTCAAGTAGTTGCACAAAAGAGGTAGACAAAGGGGGTGATTCACATGATTCCTAAAATGCAAGAGTTACAATACACTAGCAAACGTACCGGTGCGATTACACACACTTGACGGCATCATCAAATCTCAAAATATTTCAAGATGTCGTACGAGAAACAAAAGAATTCTATCCAGTTCGCCCTATAATTCTGGAGAATTACGATTCTGGAAACTGCCCACAGAATTGTTTGTCCAGTTCTTTTCTGTAATTCTAACCTGTAATTGTTGTATGAGGTCGCTCGGTTGGGCTGGCCCAGTGACATATTGGCTGTAATTTGAGTCCCCAATTGGGGTACTAGTTTAAACCGAACAGTTTTCTTTTGAGGGCCCGACTAGAATTGCCAGAATTGCCAAGTTTCCATGATTCTTAAATACACTAGCGATTCTGATAATTCTCGGATGATTCCTGGGGAAGAAACGAGTTCTTTTGCGATTGTGATTCTCCGGGCAGTAATTCTTCAAAATTGAGCCAAAAGAACTGGGCCTAAGTGGTGTTACGAGAAAACATAAAGGCGAGACGATTTTTTTAGTGTACTGAAGGTGTGTCCAATTTATTAGAGAACAGAAATATCTACCTAGGTTCACGTATCAATAGACGCATTTGCTGGCTTTCCTCCTCGGTGATGCCCAAAAAATAGTGCATTAGGATAAAAGTAGCAAAGTACATTTTAGTTCTCAGTGAGACAATGACAGCATGTGCATAAGCATATTAGACATTTGCATCAAATACAATCAATCCGTACGGACATGCATAACAAGTGTTTAAGGTTGCATATCAACATTGATATCTTTAAAACAAAATGTCTATGGGCACAATTTCAAATAATATGGAAATCAGTATTAAACCATCGGTTTACATAAAGCTCGTATTAGTAGTTTAGTGTACGTCATCGTATATGTGTTGGTTATTGTGCACTGGGCGAAATAAAGAATTAGAGAGGATGATTATGTACCTGTTGCAACCTTTAGCATATACTCCCTCCGATTCAAATTATATCAATATGTACTACATACCTACTGAAATGAGTGAACAAACACAGTAAACCGCGTCTATATACATTTGATTCAGAAAAAGTTTAAATGTCTTATAATTCTAAACGGAGGGAGTACATCTCCTATGGCGCCAATAAAAGCTTTTGTGAGAGCATGAAACTATCATATATAGTCAATTTAAATGGGTAGAAACATATATAATAGACGTTTTTAAAATGCATCATATAAAAGTATTAATTAAGGATGCATCCTAAACATAATTTAGAAATAATTAACTTGCAGAATAATAGCATATTTGGAAACTACACATTTTTCTGGGCGTTTTCCATATACAACATGTTTAATTCGGAGTTAGGGTTCAAAAGATATGAATATTTTGAGAAGTAACTAGGATAAAATTGCAACATTGTGCAGCCCATCTGCTAAACGACGCTTGGGCGAGGCAACTCTATCCTACAACAAAAGAAATTCGAAGAGAAATGACAGAAAATGGGAGAAGCTAGGATTGGAACTCAAGTCTCCCTGATGGAGGAGTGAGGCTCTAGCCACTCAGT